ATTCCGTATTAGTAGGATTAATATTAATGTCCCATTTCTTAGACCATATATTAACATTTTCAAGATCACTGGATAGACTATTGGCTGCATCGAGTGGAGTAATTTGTATAACCTTAAAAAGAGATGTATCATCGGCAAATAGTAGTTTCTCATTTGTTATACATTCAGTTATATCATTTATATAAATCAGAAATAGAAACTGATCCCTGGGGGACACCAGCAGTTACCTGTCTATATGATGAGAAGAAGCCTTCTGTTATCACTCTATGTTTACGATTAGTTAAGTAATGTTTCAACCAATTAAGGAGATTTCCTTTAGTACCATATTTTTCAAGTTTAAATAATAAGCCAGGATGCCAGACACGATCAAATGCCTTGCTTACATCACAAAATATTGATCTACTTTCAAGTCCTTCATCAAGTTTTTGTATAATAGTATTGACAAACTAGCTCTGGGAAAATACATGGAAAATGATCTTCCATCCAAACAAATGCAATGTGTTGTCGGTGAGTAAAAACAAAACTGCAATAGTCCATAATTATTCTTTACATGGACTCATACTGGAACATCTTAGTCAGGCAAAGTATCTGGGTGTAACACTATCATCTGACCTTAAATTGGATTCACATATAAATACTATCTGCCCAAAAGCAAATTCTACGCTAGGCTTTTTAAGACGAAATCTTAAAATTGGCTCAACATCAGCCAAAGTACAGGCATACAAATCATTAGCTCGACCATCACTTGAGTATGCCTGTACAGTATGGGACCCTCACACCCAAACAAATATTGACAAGTTGGAAATGGTCCAGCGAAGGGCAGCGCGCTATGTGCTCAATAAGCACAGGTACAACCATCGTACCTCCAGTGTATCAGAAATGTTGGACCACCTAAAGCTGCACCCTCTAGCAGATAGACGTAGAGATGCTCGTCTGATCATGCTTCATAACATTGTAAACCAGAAAGTCGCTATCGTAAAACCAGACAGATTTATCTCTACAGTTAGAAAATCCCGAACAAACCACCAGTTTTCGTATCGAATTCCCCACTCAAAAACCCAGACCAGAAAGGCATCATTCTTCCCTCGAACTAAACCCGAGTGCAATTAACTCCCACTTGACATTATTTCGAGTCCCACAACGGAATTATTCAAATCAGCCCTCTACCGTCACCTTTAAAACGCAAATTAGACCATCTCGTATCTTTTAAAAACACTCTCTTGCCATGTTTCACTACTCGTCTGACATTTTATCTTCAAATTGTTGAAGTTGGTCAGTACCATTTAGAAGTAGAAGTACATGGATAATAATTGATAAACAGTAGAGTCACCAGGAATAAATCCAGACTGGTATTTTGTTATTAGTTCGAATTCCAGTAAGTGATTATATAAATGCTTGAAAATGATTTTTTCTAATATTTTACTGAAACATGAAGTAATAGAAATTGGACGGTAATTTGAGACATCATTTTTATCACCTTTACCTTTTATATATAGCATTAATATTAACCCATTTCCAAGGCAGAGGAACAGAACCAGATGACATGGTTTTATTGAATAACATAGGAAGGGGAGGCATTAGTGATGGAGAAAGAAGTTTAATAACTTTCGGTACAATTTCATCAGATCATGCAGGTTTCTTATCATTTAGTACAGTCAGTTGATCCCTCACATCCTGTTCTTGAAATAAAATGTTATTAAGTATGGAAGGAGACTCAGGAACAGGAGGCAAAGGATCAATATTATCAGAGGGTGTTGATATTGCTGTAAAATAATCAACAAGACATTCGACTTTATCAAGTGGATGAAACAAAACAGTGTTATTGTCATTTAATGGTGGAATAAAAGGTGACTTGTTGTAAATTTTCGGAATAGTTTTTGTGGTTTTCCACCATTTAGATGATGAGACATCGGGATCATTTAGAGAGTGTTCTAACTTTTGTATATATATATCTTAAGTGGTACGTATTAAGCTGATGGCTTCATTTCTGATGTTCCTAAAATTTGCCCAATGATCTGGATTATTGGTCTGTATTGGGGTTTTTTATGGATTATATTCCTCTGTCTTAGTTTTAACCTTATCTCGTTTGACATCCATGGCTTATCATTTGGTCGGATAGTTATTTTCTTCATAGGTATAAAGTCATCTATAGCTTTATTTATAGCATCAACAAGTACAGTATTAAAACCATTTACATCTTGTTGTTCATTTATACTTACCCAGTTTATGTTATCAATCATCTGATTCACTTAGATAACATCAGCATTATTATACAGGAGAACATTTTTTGTATATGCATGGTGTCTAAATACAGGGTAAGAAGCACTGAAGTTGATTACAGAGTGATCACTACAGATTGGAGGAGTTACAATTACATTTTTAACAATAGTATCATTATTCGTAAGGACAATATCAATTGAGGTAGAAGAATCCTGAGTTATTCTTTTACATAATTGTACAGATTATATTTTGTTAAAAGTCTTTTTAAACGAGAGTTTGGCTGAATATTGCTCATATTTACATTAATGTCACAGTAATAATAATGTCTGCATTTGTTCGCCTCGAGTCATCAGTTACATGATCTAGTAAATTATCAAGCTTGTTCCAGTAATCCATACTACTGTCAGGAGGTCTATAAATACAACCTAGGAGGAGGTTTTTTTTGCTAACTGTAATATCTGACCAAAATAATTCTAAATCAGGAATCTCGAGATCTGGTCTTCTTTTCATAATGATATTGTCCTTCCGTATTTATTTCATTTTGAGGAAAAGTTATGAGCCCATCACATACTATATACACTGACAAAGGCATGTATGAAATACCTTAACGGGGTAGCAATCAAGATATCTATTAGACTAGAAGAGTGATCTCCCTTTTATCAGTATTTAATTTAAATAGTAGCTTCATAATAAGCCATATTGCGAGCATTATAATGACTTTAACAACGTTCTTTGAACAAGTAATTGGACATTTAAATAGTACACATGTTATAAATTAATATAGTGCAGGGAGTACATGTTGCCTACATAGCAACACTTCACTGAATGGAAGAGTTAACAGAGTGTTCATGCAACATTTCTATATTGTACAATATATTACATAGTTATTGGTTGGTAGTTAAGATAAACGGTCTAATACTAAATCATCTATACAATAGCTATATATGGTTAAATATACAATGCATAAGTATTTATAGATCATAAACATGGATATATTTATAACACACTTAGAAGTAAGAGGTCACTGATTTCTCAATATGTTGGTAGGTCACTGATTTCTCAATATGTTGGTAATTCAATTAATTTAGTCAAGCATGCTTGCAACAGTTAAATTAATGGTGAATCAAACAAGTTAATCAACATCATCTCATGGTCTTTTCCATTAAGTAACCTTACTGTCACAATAGGTATTACCTCACCACAGGCCATCATATCATACCTACATAGCTGAATAGTTTTACCAGATCTAAAGTTCTCATAGGTTATCCGGAGTTAGTACTGGTAGCTCCTAGGGTAGCTTGATCTCAGGAGGGGTCACGGGGGTGCCTGGTGACCTCTTTGGAGTTCTGGTAGTCATGTAGAGTTCGGGGTCTGTTGATAGGTCTGGGAGGAGGGTCCGGATACGACCTGAGGTCATCCAATGAAGTGACGGTCGTTTCTTGGTGGTCATTTACCTCGTATCACAATCCTACCATCCTGTGTCCAAGTACCTGATATTATATTCTGTTTTTTCAGATATCTCGCCTTGGTAAAGACATCCATGCGAGTTTTGGTAAGGGCCTCATTGATGATACAGTTCTCCAATGTGTAGTATGGGGCGATATATTACATGATGATACTGTTTTCCTGTATTTAGTCTAGGGCGATATATTACTTGATGATACTGTTTTCCTGTATGTAGTCTAGGGCGATATATTACTTGATGATACTGTTTTCCTGTATGCAGTCTGGGGCGATATATTACTTGATGATATTGTTTTTCCTGTATGTAGTCTAGGGCGATATATCACCAGATGATACTGTTTTCCTGTATGCAGTCTGGGGCGATATATTACTTTATGATACTGTTTTTCCTGTATTTAGTCTAGGGCTATATATTACTTGATGATACTGTTTTCCAATGTTTAGTCTGGGGCGATATATTACTTGATGATACTGTTTTCCTGTATGTAGTCTAGGGCTATATATTACCATATGATACCGTTCTCCAATGTGTAGTCTGGGGCGATAATGTGTGACAGTGAGCTGTTTCCCTAATATCATGTCTTGGACGATATTGTGAAGGAGAGGAAAAGTTTATTTCCTGGGGCGATAATTGTTTTGAGGAACATCTCTATCATTTGAATGTGCTAGAAGGAACAATAGTGATATAGTGTTGTCTATTGAGTTTTTGTGTCGGAACCACATTGCTCCTCGGTCTGTATAACATGAACCAGAGGACATTTATGCCGGTATTCCTATATTCCCCTATAGGCATTTTACCGATATGTCGTTAGCAATTATCCCGGGATCAATCTTTAACAAGAAAATATTATATAATGTAGTATCGTTTTGAGGGTGATATCAAAATGCATCTTTTAAAGTACGGTACCCTAATCTGTACTACTTATATTTGACCTAGTTCAGGCCTTATAACAGGTAAAGCACGGTACCCTAATCTGTACTACTTATATTTGACTTAGTTCAGGCCTTATTACAGGTAAAGCTATACACTTTGACTTATATCTTATAAGAAACAAAACTTGGTATTGTATATCCATATGAGTATGTTTTTGTCTTCTTTTGCTTTAAGAGCATCTGTTCAGACGTACCGTAGAGCCAAACTCTCTTTAATTCGTTTTTGAGTTCCCCTTGGCCCAGGAATGCTATACGTCATTTTCTTCAAATTCCTTTTAACTGCTCTAGACTGGTAGATATAAAGAAAAACGACAGACGCCCCGCCACGGTATACGGTCACGTGACCTGAGGACCTGATTACAGGTAAGAAAACATAGACACCATTGATGTAACTCAATATTTTATTACTCTTTGAAATCACATTCGATATTTGAAACAAACACAACTTTAAATCATCCGTTGTTACTTTGACCAAGCCTCCTATCCTCAGTTCATATTCTTGTTTATGATTCTCAGCTGTAAGTTAATCGGCCAGGTTTAGTATTTATTCCATTACTGATGAGGTACAAACCTTTACCTTTATATTTAAATCACAAAATGCATTTTGCTAGCGTCAGATTACTGATTTAAGAAATATAAGCATATTCTTACCTTTTGCTAAAAGAATAATTTTAATTGTAGTTTATGTTAGATTCTTTTTAATGCATATTTTTATTTTTATTTTTATTGTAGAATTGATTTAAAACTGTTTGACTTCAAGTTATTAACTTAGCATTGGGTTAGTTTTTACTATATCAATCTGTCATGCAAAAATATTTCACGGTAGATATATTTATATATTTTTTCAATGTTGTAACATTTTATCAAGCAAATGCTTTGGCCGTGGTCTGTGACATTTCTTAACTAAATTGTGATCCTTTAAGTTTGCCGGATATGAAACTAACATGCCCATATTTACTAGGTCCTGAGTTTCCCAAGTCAAGTATTGAGTGATATTCCTCTTTATTGTTTGGTAAATTAATGTCTTCACTTAGACCATTGGAACCCAAATATGATTTGTAAGAAACATTTTGATAAACACCAGATGCTATTATGTTATTTCATATTTTGTATTAAGCAATAGCTTTATCTGAAATATCATTATCATGTAGATTTTCTTTCCCCTGTGAATGTGTTTTGCCCATAAATACCTCCATTTAATAATATCCATTTCCTTAATACAGATATTGTTTAACGACTTCAGAAAAGACAAAACAAAACTCCATGATTTCGAGTAACATTATTTTTGGATGATTTTTTTTTATACTTTTCTTCATCGTTATCAGTTTTATTAGCGATGCATAACCGATATCAATTTTCTTAATGCATACATTCGATAAAGATTAAGATTAGATTAATTTATCAAATTATAATTTGGCTTTGTTATTTTGAAAGTAACATGATAGCGTTGTGATATATGATCTGATAAACATGCATTTCTTTAACAATACAGCTATTAACAGAGAAGAGGAGGCTTGTAAATGATGAAATAGGTTAAAATGAGATATGATCCACTAAACGACATTAAGTAAATAAACAAGAGATCCCAGATGGATCTTGGCGCCCACCATCGTACCATCTTCATTAGTTCTATGTTAGTTTTATCTTTTCTCTTCTTTTCTCTTATCTGTTTGATGAGTTTGCCTGTACGCCATCCATCTTAATCAATGACGGACGGACGGACGCACCATGGAACAGGGACCACGGACGCAAGGAGATTTGAATAGCCCACCTATCTGATGATGGTGGGCTAAATAGATAAAATATAATATAATCAACTACAATCCATCTAGTAAATATTAAAACAGATAAAAAAAGATATGATCAACTTCACGCAATTAGGTAAATAAAACCAAAATTCAAAAAAGATATAATCCACCATACTAATCTAGCAAATACTGAAAAAGATCAAATAAGATGTGATACACTTCACGACATCAGTCGTTTGTAAACATTTTAATCTAAATATAAAAGGTTCAGGTACACAAGACTGGCCGCTTGGCCATTCTGTGTTGTTGGGTTTCTTCAGACGGACTAGTGTTTATTTATCAGCGCCAGTAACATGGCGACATCAATAGTTGTATAGTTAACATTTTTAATGACGTCATCGATGCATATTCATAGTTACGTCATAAACAATACAAATACAGAAAAAACATGTCAATATTGACCAAATATTATTTATGAAAGCTTGGTTCGAGGGCTTTTGTAAAAAAAAATAGTTAAATTCTTTGGTAACTGGATCATCGCTATCAAGTTTGTAGGTAGGTAACGCACAAAAATCATCCTTAGAAAATTGATGCATATGTTGCTTACTCTTACAAATCAAAACTCAGTTTCCTTCATTTTGTGTCTTTGCACATTCAATCGTAGTTTTACACCCGGTTTTCTAATATAGAATTATCAGCAAGGTTTACATAATAAAGTGCAAATGACATTCTTTGAATTAGAGTTAAAATGTTATCTCATTTCTATTTTGAAAACTATTTTCAAAAACATAGTCTTTACATTCATAAACAATCTTACATGTACCGCACCTTGATTTCATACATATTTTAACATCCGTGAATAATTTGTGGCATTCATATCAAATTTGGATGTAAAAGTAAATGTTTCAAATTTTAGGGTTGAAGGTTTCTAATATTCTTATTTTCAAAAATACACACCATGTTTACACTGTTTTTCATTTTTTTTTACATACAATTCATCAACAGGAAACGTGTCACAATATGTCAAATAGTTTAGATATATCCAAATACCTTCCATTCGTAATTCGTAAGCTCGAAATATACGTTCAAGAGAGTTGTCTCACTTGATGATTTATCAAAGGATCTATACGCATGCGAGTTAACGTTACGCCTTAGGTCTTTGCTCATTATTGAATTAATACAAAATATACATTGTTGCAATCAATACATTCGAGTGAAGTCACTTTGTTTTCAGAGTCTAATAATAGTTATCTGCTCCGGCTAACAGTTCTGTATATAACGTGATGTGAAAATGTAAAATGATATCACGCAATAACAAACGATGGAAATGGGTTTTAACAATAACAGCAAATCTGACATCTGAAAAAAAAAAATTCTTTCACCAATGATCGCGGCCGCGATCGTCTGTTGTCGTAACGATGGAGAATTATACCCAAAATTTATTCTAAAGCTATTATTTAACAATTGTTTTTCAATTGATAAAATCACTCTTGATCTCTAAGATGGGTATCTATCTTACGTGTCGATTGCGTATTAAATACATGGGTTTTTATATTAAGTCTAGGGACTGTTCATTAGGTATCAAAAATACAAAGCAATATATCCACACGAGGTTAGTTGGGAGTCACAAAAAAGCAAGCGAACTAAATTTTACCAAATTAGACTAAATTATAGTTACAGAATATGTAATGCATTTGTTTTACTCCTACATAAATGACAACAAGCAAATTCATGGACATATTGTAGGTAAACATTATTGAGATTAGGTTTAAACATGTGATTATCGTGCTGTTGAGACATAATGTATTGCATGAAACTCGAAGGGAAAAAAAGCCTTATCTAATATTTGCTAAAGTTATTTAGCGGAAACTGTAGATAGTAGAAGGTTTTGTAGCAATGCTATGACATTAATGCAGCCTTACCTTTAATTATCAATTTTTCTCAAAAAGTAAAATTGCCTCTTTTCAATGTGTATGCATCACTCTCTGACCTCAGACCTCAAAACCTGTTATAAATAAAATTGTGAAAATTGACATTTTACAAATAATATCATTTCTTCGGCAGACATAAATAAATAGCATTGTGTGATATAAACGAGAATTGGCTAAAGGAAATAATTATTATAATCAATAAATTTAAGAATTTAACCTGAAGTGCCGACCTATATTCAGCTCATACAAGAAACCACATGTCGTTTATTTATACCCAAATTAACTTTTTTTATACTTCATTTCCGACAAAATCATTGAAACGTTTGCTTACTGCACTAGAAATATTTGTTTTGTGAAAGTGCACAAATTAAGAAGATTTATTCAGGAAGCCCGTGTTAAGTTTAGCAAGTTACCTATCATTATTTGTCTTAGGCTGCTGTAACACCTTCAATAAGCCATCAAGGCTACAGCATAACTCTTTCAACTCGGCAAAGCCACGAAATACAGCTTCAGATTGCTCGTTTTGGTCAAGACGTTTCAATATGCTCTTGTAGTTTGTAATTGACTTTGAAACTTTCCCCATTTTCTCGTTTATCTTCTGAGTCAGCTTTTCAAATATGGTCCTTTCCAGAGTTTTAGATGTGAATTCTTTTTTAAGAATTTCTACTGTCCACTGCTCAAGTTTTTCTTTTGGTTTTTTCCTGTATGTAGAAATCAGATAATGTTCTTTTCCAGCTTGTACTGCAGCCGCAACTGGAGCAACCGTGACCAATCCAGCTATACCTAACGGAATCCAAACAGGCGCAGTAACTACTAAAGCAACAATTGCGTGCGCGGGTAAGTCATCCTCCTCGTCGCTTTCTATGTTTAACGACCTCGTTTCTTGTGCCAATTCGTTGTCGCTTTCAAGATATTTTTTAAAAAAAACCTTCATCTTGGCTTCTTTTTTCGTGATGTTCAAGAAGAGTACGGACAGTGCTTCTGTTAGTTCTTTTAACTCAGATTTGCAATTTTCAATAGCAGCACGAATTCCGCCCGAGATGTATTCCCGTATAGCAACGCTTGCTTTCAATTTCAAAACATCGAATGTTTTGCCTTTTGGAATGCCATCTTTGTCCCAGGTGAAAATTTTCTCTCTATTTGCAGCATCGTTAAGATATTGATGAACTTGTTCAACAACATTTCCTTTGATCTCTAAGGCATCAAGAGCTCTTTCCCCCTTCATAAACAAAAACAAAGATGCAATGTAGTGATTACTTGCTTACTTTCAAAGTTTTTTTAGTTGAATTTGAATTTAATCTACTCTGAAACTTACAAATTTGAGAAGTATTTGACAACACCAAGTAAAACTAATGTATCAAAGCTTGTTACTTTGTAAAAAGTATTTCGCCTGCTAATAGCGAGGATTGGATTCTAATTCAATCTTCCGATTTCATCTTTATATCATATATATTCGCTGAATTAAGAAAGTAATGTAAATGGTGTATGTGAAATTCATGATTAGTTTTAGATTTTAATAAACATTTGTGATACAAAAATCAAATTTCCTTCAAATGTTATCGACATTTACTTATCTGACATATTTTTTTGATTTGGAAAGCGATATTGAAATAATAAAGTATAAATTGACGAATGCTTTATAGTTCGTTTTATAGGCAGGTTTAAACAATCATGTCATTGACAATAATATTGAGATTATACAGATTAAAATATAGAAGAGAAATTCTTTGATGAAAACCTCTTTGTATGCATCTTCGAGGTCCTTGAGAAGATTCTGCAGATACATGGACCTTGTGTGATGGTCTTTTGAGGATAACCCGGACAGAGATTCCTTTGCAACCACAGAGATTTTTAAATAGTTCAGGCATTCATGTAGGAACCTTTGATGAAGACAGAAGTAAATTTAATAATAAATCGCATAAGCACCGCATTCTGTTTGCATATAGATTTTTTAAATATTGCCACAGCGAATAGAGGAAGTCAAAGGCGGTATTCTACTTAGAGCACCTATTGACATTGGTCACTCGTGATAAGTCTTAAGTCTAGATTGATAATAAAGCACAATTAATGGCTTTAATATTTTAATGAAACTTAACAGTCACTTTAGTAATAAAATGTTCCCCTTTTCAATATAATTGCATTATAATCCTCATGACCTTAATTATCAACCCAACTTTAACAAACAAGTTCATAGAATTTATACCCACCTCCTAACAGAAAACTTAAGTGAGACCGACGAACACAGCGCCTGTACATAGGCTAGTGGACAATGAGGATATATTTTACATATTGCCAAAGTTACTTAAGTATAAAGCGCTTTTCTTTCATTCTGTAATTTTATTCTTGGATAGTTAATATCAGTGCATGTGGATCTTTTTTTTTTTCAATGTAGACATTATTTGGTTCAGAATTTTGCTCTGTTGACAGAGAATTTATTAAGACAATGTAGGGAGATAGATTGATTTTTGCTATTTCATACCTACTTAAAGACTGAAATAGACGAAAATGACGGGGTTATGGCCCCTTGAATAACCAAAGACGTCATTATCTGACGTTTCTGTTAATTAACTCTCGCAAATATTATCCGATTGTCTTCAAACTTTGTAACAGGGTTCAACGCATTGAGGGGCTCGGCCAAGTTTGACAACCTCTTTAATCTGACTCTATTTGGCGGAGTTATGGTCCCTCGAAAAACTTTATTATCTGCAGTTTCCGCTTAATAACTATATCAAATATTAGCCAAATTCCTTCAAACTTGATAACAATGTTTGTGTTCCTCTGTCTTTCCACCCATCTCGGTCAGTCTTTGGTTTTCGTGTGATCATTGCTGTAGATATTGTGCAGATATTTCAACCAAATTCTGTATGCACTTTCGACTCATGCTAAGTTTGCCAACCGATGTGATTTGTGCATATTTACGGATCCTTAATGAGGTTAGTAAATTCTGATGGATTAAACGATTAATTTACACCGTAATACCTACATGTTCAATAAAAAGTCTACCTTCTGTATAAGGCTTTTTTCTTCTTCGAATTTCAAGCTATACATTATGTCTCAATAGAACGATGCTCACATGTTTAAACCTAACCTCGATAATGTTTACCTACAATATGTCCTGCAAGCGTGGGTATACATTCCACGAATTTGCTTGTTAAGAAACATAGATCTTTTCTTATGATTGGTGAAATACAAAGCAACCTGCAAGTATTTTCTGGACAAATTTTGGACTTCAAATTGCACAAAAGTCCATAATTATGTATAAAGTGGTGAACGAAATCTGCGTTGGTACACAACACTCCGTCTTCCCAACATACATAGGAATATAACTTTTAGTGACCGTAGGAAGAATAACAAGAACATTACAATGCACCATAGCATGAAACTCTAGTCATAGATAGTTGTATATCTAGTGCTTAATATGAAATTGTTTATATTCTTTTATAAAGTGTATTAAAACTCTATTAAAACTTGAATCCAATAGAGTGATAACACAACGTATTGAGGTACTCACTCACGGGGTAACATGCCTATAATAATAATTTGATCAAGTTCGTAATGTTTCATGTAATTTTACTCTACTCAAATATTTGCTATCTTGACAGTTTAAACTCAGTTGCAATTTGTGTTAATCACTGATTAATTTAATCATGTTTTGAACACCTGGCCAAGATAATTGGATCCCTAGTAATGAAACTGCTCTCACGCCAAAATCGTATTCGTGAAAAAATCTGCGCCCAAGATGCGATTGAGAATTAAAACGGCTTTTTAATAAGGGGCAAGATGTTTAGCACAGTTGAGTTTACGCCGCTGCACGTCTTCTATCCCTAAAACATTTTTTTTACACTTTAAGATATAAGTCCTTCATTACGAATGAACAGATTTTAACTATGCAATAACCTCCACAAAATGAGTCGAAGTGGCATAGTTCCCCGTTCCCACCATGCCGGAACTCAGTTAGTAAAATTGTATAGATAAGATGCAAAGAATTCCCAAGCGGCACTCATCTTCTATGCGAGTGCTTTACGATAGAAATCTAAGAAACCAAATAATTTGGACTTGCAAACGAAGAGTAGGAACTATCTGGGTTCGCTAATTCCTTCATTGGCGGAAAGACGAAGCCCAAAATCGCACTGCAAAGTTTGTCAAATGTAAGGAATTATCTTTGAAAGGGATTAATTGCACCTGGAGTAAGATTCATGACATGGTCAATTGAGCCATCTCAATGATATCACATTGTTGAGACCATTGATCGACACACTAAGACACAATTCGTTTATCAACTTTGACCTTATACTTTCGCTCGACAGCTGAATCTTATCCCGTGAAAGAAAGAAACGGGAACAGTTCTTTGAAAAAGGCTTTTGGAAGAGCAAAATGTTGACGGAGAAAAAAATATACTTGCTAGCAAATTGCCTCAAGAGGAGAAACCATTCCTCAAGAATATTCGAAATGGTTTAACTTAACCCTGGATGAAATAACCCCTGTATCGCATGTTTGTAATTACCCCTCAACCAACTGATTCACTTTTGGTTAGCCCCTTTCAATATGCCAACCTTGAGAAAACATAATTGCCAGATCATTCTGACTGCTAGAAAAAAAAAACAATTATGCGCGCGATCTCAATACAATGCAATTCAAATATACAACCTCTAAATACCGCCGTGTCCAGGTTATAAGTTTATAATAAAATCATAAATCAAAATCTTAACAACTAAAAATATTGCTAAAATGAATAAACCATTGGTAATAGTGCCATCGTTGAGGCGGTTTTGATAAACAAAGGCGATCGTATAACACATATAAAGATTACCGTAAAAAAATAACCAAATTATTTGTCAAACTGGTATAAACTTGGATATAATGAGTTAATGAAAGACAGCTAGACTTATGGTATAAGTAAAATACCCGCAACAACCCTATTACACAGCAAATGGCGGAGTAGCTCGAGCGCATGTGCTAAGTATGGTCTCTTTTTAAAGAAAGGTGATAACGATATATTTAGTATCCTATAATTATGTGGCCAAAAAATCACTCTAGATGCGATTTGCTAGCAAGTATATATTTTCATAAATCAAAACCTCAATAACTAAAAATGTTGCTAAAATGAATAAACCATTGGTAATGCTGTAATAGTGCCATCATTGAGGCGGTTTTGATAAACAAAGGCGATCATATAACACATATAATATATATATCTATAATATATACTGCATCAAGAAAGTTACTTGAAACTTTTTCATTGGTACATGCATACAATGATGGCTGCAAATATGGAACATGTGGACAATATTCATCGTTCTTAGTACATGTACTGAGAAGTGGTGCTTTTAAGCAATATGTGTTTTCCTTTGTTCAAAATGAAAAACGTTTTTTTTTTATATTGCTGGTATACAGTACAGACTGTTACAGTACACGCATACTGTTTTATAACGAAAGCACGTTACTATTTCTTAACTTCAATCTAGTAGTAAAAAGTAGACAAACCTTGTGTGAATGCTTGACCTAGCGTTAGCACAGTGTTGCACAGTTGCTCGGATTTTGTCCAGAACATTTCGGTAATCCGTTGTAGCGGACATGTAGTTCGCATGGACACATCCTGGATTCTCGTGTGTGTCCCAAACCTATAAGTATGTTAGTTCCATGTAATCTTACCATACTTCTTCATCATTGAATATTTGGTCTCAAACATACAATGTACTACAGGAATTTATATTTTGGTTCCAACATATTTTAGTATATATAAGCAATAAAGTAGCATCGACATTACATGCAATTATGTGGAATATTGTCAAATGTTTAAGGCAATCCGTTAGGAAATATTAACAGTTATTAGTTATATAATATATGCTGATGTTAACGCACATTCTCCGACTGGCTAATAGCCGATGGCTAATTACAGAGAAGAAATCATCTTGAAAATGTGAATTTGAGGAAATTTATAGAAACAAAAATGAATAAAAGTAGTAGATTAATAAATGAACAAAAGTCGCAGGAACCAAACTAGAAATTTCCACAAACAATTTCGTCCACTAAAACAACTCGTCACTACTCAAAAACAGTATGACTCCTAAAAAACAACAAAATACAATAAATAACAGGCCCTGGTATTAATATCACATTTGTAAAGTGGACTAAAATAAAGATACAGACGAAGTATCAGTGTCTTGACTAAAAATGATTCCAAAGAACGTGCTGAAATATTTTGAATCCTGTGACCATCAAAGTCAAACAAGGACATTAAGTTGAACAAGCATAATTGTGACAAAATGGGTTTACCCAATAGTTGATTTAATTAATTAATGTGATTAATTTGTGTTAGATTAATACATATCTTTGGATTGTAAGTCATGTGCTGGTTGGGGTCAGTAATGTGTCAGGTAACAGTAGCCTAAAGGATACGTATAATACTTAGAGTGATTATAGTCACATATGTATGTACCAAATGTTTATGATGACAGGTTTATAGGTATATGGACAGATGATGGCTGTAGGCAATGATGAAAGATATGTACTGGAAAACGACATGAGCGAGGGAAATCAAGTGTTATGCTCGAAGAACACAAATCCACCTTCCGGGAATGCATTTCGGAATAGCCTTCTCATACACAACTTTACACCGATGGTTCCAAAGAAGGTGAGAAAGTGGCAGCAACCTGTTGTACTGCATATTCCTGCACTTCAGTTCGACTACCAGACGGCGCTTCTATCTTTTCTGCCGATGAATGCGCCATTGGTTTGGCCCTCGACCATATCGATGAACACCGCATTAAAAGGCAATCATTTATTCAGACTCTCTATCTGTCATACAGAGTTTACAGCTACGAGATCCTAAAAACACACTCGTACAAAACCTTGCTCTTCGAATATCTCGTATCTTAAAAAAGTCTAAAATAACTTTACTATGGATTTCGAGCCATATCGGAATTAAAGGCAACTAATTTGTTGACAGGGAAGCAAAAAAAAGCATTAAATCTCCAACAAACAAATATCAAACTACCATATACAGATTTTAAACCTTTTATTTGTACAGCCATTCAAAATTCTCTCGAGACCAGCAACAGACTCTTTAAAGTACAACCGAGACTTAAAACATCTATTCCCAGTCGGAAAGATCGAAGAGAGGAAGTTGTCCTCGCTCGGCTCCGTACTGGGCACACATTTCCTACTGATTCGTACCTTTTAAAACGAGAAGATCCACTTTTATGCCACGCATGTGACACTCCATTTCGAGTCCCGGGTATGAAAACTATTTTCAGTTCCGGGGACTCGAAGGCATCATTTAACTATTTGAAAGACATCGGTCTATTCTATAGACTCTGATGTCTTTAAACCTAACTTACCCCTTTTGACGCTATATATATCACATAGTCTATAATTATCATCTATTCGTTATCTCTTTTATTATTTTAACCCCCTTTTTATTTTTATTTTCTACACATACAATGCGAATGCTTTTAAAATGAACCATTTTAACTGATTTTGTCTTCGCTACTCACATGTTTGTTTAAGCTGTATTATCTTGTCAACCTACTCAGACATTATATTTATCTGCGTTTTCACGTAGCTGTAATGTTTAGGTTATAGTGTTCCGAATGTATCATCCATCAGCACTACACATCAACACGTGGCTGGCACCACACTGTTAATTACCTGTACTTTAAGTGCTGTACCGGTTTTGTTTTACCTTGATGCACTTTGGCATATTTTTAACCCGGAGATGTCCGTCTAGGAACACATTGTTAGCTATCACCAGTACCATCAAATAGTAAGCGTACCATAATCGTATCAAGCGTTTTGTAAATATGATAATTTTCTCAAAGCGGTTGATTCCACGAGGAATGTAAATGTGAATTATGCCTCTTATGCATTTGTGTTTTAGTTTTTTTGTTGTGTTTGTTGTTAATATTGATGCTATTATATGTTTAAACAACGATCTTTACATTGCAAGTCTCTGCCCATGTTCATGCAATGCTGTTAGTTGTATTGCCCGAACCCTCGCGAGGATGTCTCCCTAAACCGACTGCTTACGATAATGGTTAAAATTCCTTTTTTATATGTTGTGAACGTGACATCCGTCTTACGAGGGCATATGACTTGGATATGCAGTAATTCTATTCAATTTATATACCTTTATTCTAAAATATTCAACAATAATTCATATCTACAAATACTTCTGCAAACCCCCAAAAATTGCGAGTGTTATTGAACAACCGTGCTTTGCAAAATAGGAGATGAGAGTCTGAACTATCAATCCATTTTATAATTGTATTTTGGAACATTGGCAATTAATGTTACTGGAAACTTTCTGAGTTGATAAGAACCATTCAAATATCAACATCTCACTTTCGGTTTACAACTTCCGGTAAAACGTAAACAAAACAATGGAATTCCACTTTATTATACCATTGGCATTAGTGCTGGTTTCATGAGTTAACAAGATCGGCACATCATACAATGCACCTATAGTACCATGGGAGGGTATGAGATTTATGTCAGGTATACTACGAGTGAACACACATCTCTGGACGTAAGGAATGAACTGCTGAAATCGCCCAAACGATGTGCCACAGGGTATGTATCATACATATTTGCCCTCCTCCTACTGAATGCATCTGACTGACACCCAAATACAGGCCCTTATGTTGTAAAATATCCATGTGGAATTTGCAATAAAGCTGTCCGTTGGTCCAAAACAGTGCGTACAGTAGCATGCACAGATTGTGAGACATGGTTTCATAAACACTGTCTAGGTATGTGTACAGCTGTATATGTCCCCTTAGAGAGATCAGACATGAGCTGGGATTGCTGCAGTTATAGCTTGTCAAACTTAAATTCAAGTCTATTCACTGAATTTGAAAGTTTGGGCGACAGTACAACAAATACAGAAAATTCCTTTTACTCGTTGTCTTCATCGGTGTATTTCGACCAACCAACCTAAACATCATCACCTTGCCGCCATCCAACGAAGAACACCTATCCATAAGAACAAAGTGCGTATTCTCAACATCAATTTCTAGAGTATAAAACCCAAACGAGAAGCCTTTTGGTCCAGGCTGAAACACTGTGATCCGGACATAATACTGGCTAGCAAAATATGGCCTAATCCACCCATCCATGCTGCATGGATAGACCAAAAAGCTCACATGGAGGGGTAGCAATCTTCACGCGAGCTGATATAGACCAACAGATAACAACGAAGGCTATATCATGGGTATGTGCAGCGCCACTAAGGAGCTTCATGTCCGTTTTCAAAATTCACCTCTTTACCAACATCATACCACAGCGTAGAGATTAATATACATGTGGTAGAAAGCCAACCTACCAGCTATTGAAAAGGATTTAACAAGATTCTATGAGGACTTCACTCAACGAAGGAATCACGATGACCCTATCGCAGTCATGTGGCAGGAGTTTCGTCAAAGTAGTATGGAAGCGAGCAGCACCCATGTACCATTCAAATCCTCCTCCGTCAGGTTCAACCAACCATAGTATGATACAATAATTCATCAGATCAGCAGATGTAAGAAAACGGCGCAACGAAGGGCGACGAAACCGCAGAAAGCGGATGACTGGGAAAGATATCGCATGATCCAACGCGAGAACCAGAAGGTATGTAAGCAGTCCTACAACAGATATATAAACAATATGGTGTGCGAGGATTGAAAGAACTCCAAGAAACTCTACACTTCATTAAGAGCAAGAAGAGTGACGGATCGGAAGTTTCATCGCTCAAGGATGGTGGCACTCTGCACTCCAACCCCAAAGAGAAAGCAGAAATCCTGAACCGACAGTTTTCTTCAGTTTTCAGTGTAGAAGAAGACGATGCAATAGTACCCACCCTCGGTGTCACCTACAATCAAATGCCAGACATCAAGGTATCGGAAAAAGGCGTGCTAAAGCTGTTGCAGGGTCTGAATCCGCACAAAGCCAGTGGCCGAGACGAGATTTCAACCCGTTTTCTGAAGTGTATGGCAAAAGCGATTGCACAACCACTCACGACAATTTTCCAGGCGGAAATCGGCCTTCGCCACGCCACTCTTCAAAAACGGAGAAAAAAAGAGAGCTGCCAACTACAGACCTGTGTCCTTGACATCGGTATGCTGCAAGAGCTTGAAACAAATAATCCACAGCGATGTCATCAAACACCTCGAGAAAAACAACAACCTTTTAGATCGGCAACATGATTTCAGGAAACGAAATCTTGTGAGAGCCAACTAATCATAGACCTTGAGAAGGGCCTCAACGACAGAAATCAGATTGACGCTGTTCTGCTCGACTTCAGTGAGGCATTCGACAAGGTCTCTCATCGACGTTTATCAGCTAAACTGAATCACCACGGCGTGTTTTTAGTGTATATCAACGATTTACCAGGCAGAGTGAGAGGGATGTAAAACACCTTCAAGACTTTCCCTCGTTGCAGCAGTGGGAAAATGACTGGGGAATGAGTTGTTACAAGGAAGGCGAACAATACTACTGCTTTCCAGATGCGTTACATATCTTCATGCCCAAGGAACATCAAGGCTACTTGCTACAAGACATTGGTTCGCCCAGAATTGGAGTATGCTGCCACAGTGTGGGACAATTCCACCAAGTCCCAAATCAACTTCCTAGAGGCAGTGCAGCGTAAGCGTAGTGCAGCCCGCTTCATTATGGACGTCTACAGCCATACCAGTAGCGTGACATTCGTGCTAAAAGAGCTCCAAATCTGAAACCTTCAAATGAGAAAAGCCCAGGCTAAAGCTACCATGGTGTATCGGGTAATCAACGACCTAGTCGCATAACCAACAACTGGTAAAGGGCCTAGAGAAAACACCACCCGATACCTCCAGTCATTCTGTAGCTTGGAATTGTATCAGGATGCTTTCTTCCCAGCCGGTATTCTGATATGGAACAAACTGCCAGCAAGTATCGTGGATGC